CCGTCATGTGGAACCCCGTCATGTGTGGAACCCCGTCATGTGGAACCCCGTCATGTGGAACCCCGTCATGTGGAACCCCGTCATGTGGAACCCCGTCATGTGTGGAACCCCGTCATGTGGAACCCCGTCATGTGTGGAACCCCGTCATGTGTGGAACCCCGTCATGTGTGGAACCCCGTCATGTGTGGAACCCCGTCATGTGTGGAACCCCGTCATGTGTGGAACCCCGTCATGTGGAACCCCGTCATGTGGAACCCCGTCATGTGGAACCCCGTCATGTGTGGAACCCCGTCATGTGGAACCCCGTCATGTGGAACCCCGTCATGTGTGGAACCCCGTCATGTGGAACCCCGTCATGTGGAACCCCGTCATGTGTGGAACCCCGTCATGTGTGGAACCCCGTCATGTGGAACCCCGTCATGTGGAACCCCGTCATGTGGAACCCCGTCATGTGGAACCCCGTCATGTGTGGAACCCCGTCATGTGGGAACCCCGTCATGTGTGGAACCCCGTCATGTGTGGAACCCCGTCATGTGGAACCCCGTCATGTGGAACCCCGTCATGTGGAACCCCGTCATGTGGAACCCCGTCATGTGTGGAACCCCGTCATGTGTGGAACCCCGTCATGTGTGGAACCCCGTCATGTGGAACCCCGTCATGTGTGGAACCCCGTCATGTGGAACCCCGTCATGTGTGGAACCCCGTCATGTGTGGAACCCCGTCATGTGTGGAACCCCGTCATGTGTGGAACCCCGTCATGTGTGGAACCCCGTCATGTGTGGAACCCCGTCATGTGGAACCCCGTCATGTGTGGAACCCCGTCATGTGGAACCCCGTCATGTGTGGAAACCCCGTCATGTGTGGAACCCCGTCATGTGTGGAACCCCGTCATGTGGAACCCCGTCATGTGGAACCCCGTCATGTGGAACCCCGTCATGTGGAACCCCGTCATGTGTGGAACCCCGTCATGTGGAACCCCGTCATGTGGAACCCCGTCATGTGGAACCCCGTCATGTGGAACCCCGTCATGTGTGGAACCCCGTCATGTGGAACCCCGTCATGTGGAACCCCGTCATGTGGAACCCCGTCATGTGGAACCCCGTCATGTGTGGAACCCCGTCATGTGTGGAACCCCGTCATGTGGAACCCCGTCATGTGGAACCCCGTCATGTGTGGAACCCCTTCATGTGTGGAACCCCGTCATGTGGAACCCCGTCATGTGGAACCCCGTCATGTGTGGAACCCCTTCATGTGTGGAACCCCGTCATGTGGAACCCCGTCATGTGTGGAACCCCGTCATGTGGAACCCCGTCATGTGGAACCCCGTCATGTGTGGAACCCCGTCATGTGTGGAACCCCGTCATGTGGAACCCCGTCATGTGGAACCCCGTCATGTGGAACCCCGTCATGTGGAACCCCGTCATGTGTGGAACCCCGTCATGTGTGGAACCCCGTCATGTGGAACCCCGTCATGTGGAACCCCGTCATGTGGAACCCCGTCATGTGGAACCCCGTCATGTGTGGAACCCCGTCATGTGGAACCCCGTCATGTGGAACCCCGTCATGTGGAACCCCGTCATGTGGAACCCCGTCATGTGGAACCCCGTCATGTGTGGAACCCCGTCATGTGTGGAACCCCGTCATGTGTGGAACCCCGTCATGTGGAACCCCGTCATGTGGAACCCCGTCATGTGTGGAACCCCTTCATGTGTGGAACCCCGTCATGTGGAACCCCGTCATGTGTGGAACCCCGTCATGTGGAACCCCGTCATGTGGAACCCCGTCATGTGTGGAACCCCGTCATGTGTGGAACCCCGTCATGTGGAACCCCGTCATGTGGAACCCCGTCATGTGGAACCCCGTCATGTGTGGAACCCCGTCATGTGGAACCCCGTCATGTGGAACCCCGTCATGTGGAACCCCGTCATGTGTGGAACCCCGTCATGTGGAACCCCGTCATGTGGAACCCCGTCATGTGGAACCCCGTCATGTGGAACCCCGTCATGTGTGGAACCCCGTCATGTGGAACCCCGTCATGTGGAACCCCGTCATGTGGAACCCCGTCATGTGGAACCCCGTCATGTGTGGAACCCCGTCATGTGGAACCCCGTCATGTGGAACCCCGTCATGTGTGGAACCCCGTCATGTGTGGAACCCCGTCATGTGTGGAACCCCGTCATGTGTGGAACCCCGTCATGTGTGGAACCCCGTCATGTGGAACCCCGTCATGTGGAACCCCGTCATGTGGAACCCCGTCATGTGTGGAACCCCGTCATGTGGAACCCCGTCATGTGGAACCCCGTCATGTGTGGAACCCCGTCATGTGGAACCCCGTCATGTGGAACCCCGTCATGTGGAACCCCGTCATGTGTGGAACCCCGTCATGTGTGGAACCCCGTCATGTGGAACCCCGTCATGTGGAACCCCGTCATGTGGAACCCCGTCATGTGGAACCCCGTCATGTGTGGAACCCCGTCATGTGGAACCCCGTCATGTGTGGAACCCCGTCATGTGTGGAACCCCGTCATGTGGAACCCCGTCATGTGGAACCCCGTCATGTGGAACCCCGTCATGTGTGGAACCCCGTCATGTGTGGAACCCCGTCATGTGTGGAACCCCGTCATGTGGAACCCCGTCATGTGTGGAACCCCGTCATGTGGAACCCCGTCATGTGGAACCCCGTCATGTGTGGAACCCCGTCATGTGTGGAACCCCGTCATGTGGAACCCCGTCATGTGTGGAACCCCGTCATGTGGAACCCCGTCATGTGTGGAACCCCGTCATGTGGAACCCCGTCATGTGGAACCCCGTCATGTGTGGAACCCCGTCATGTGTGGAACCCCGTCATGTGGAACCCCGTCATGTGTGGAACCCCGTCATGTGTGGAACCCCGTCATGTGGAACCCCGTCATGTGGAACCCCGTCATGTGGAACCCCGTCATGTGTGGAACCCCGTCATGTGGAACCCCGTCATGTGGAACCCCGTCATGTGGAACCCCGTCATGTGGAACCCCGTCATGTGGAACCCCGTCATGTGGAACCCCGTCATGTGTGGAACCCCGTCATGTGGAACCCCGTCATGTGTGGAACCCCGTCATGTGTGGAACCCCGTCATGTGTGGAACCCCGTCATGTGTGGAACCCCGTCATGTGGAACCCCGTCATGTGGAACCCCGTCATGTGGAACCCCGTCATGTGTGGAACCCCGTCATGTGGAACCCCGTCATGTGGAACCCCGTCATGTGTGGAACCCCGTCATGTGGAACCCCGTCATGTGTGGAACCCCGTCATGTGTGGAACCCCGTCATGTGTGGAACCCCGTCATGTGGAACCCCGTCATGTGGAACCCCGTCATGTGGAACCCCGTCATGTGTGGAACCCCGTCATGTGGAACCCCGTCATGTGGAACCCCGTCATGTGTGGAACCCCGTCATGTGGAACCCCGTCATGTGGAACCCCGTCATGTGTGGAACCCCGTCATGTGTGGAACCCCGTCATGTGGAACCCCGTCATGTGGAACCCCGTCATGTGGAACCCCGTCATGTGGAACCCCGTCATGTGTGGAACCCCGTCATGTGTGGAACCCCGTCATGTGGAACCCCGTCATGTGTGGAACCCCGTCATGTGGAACCCCGTCATGTGGAACCCCGTCATGTGGAACCCCGTCATGTGGAACCCCGTCATGTGGAACCCCGTCATGTGGAACCCCGTCATGTGGAACCCCGTCATGTGTGGAACCCCGTCATGTGTGGAACCCCGTCATGTGTGGAACCCCGTCATGTGGAACCCCGTCATGTGGAACCCCGTCATGTGTGGAACCCCTTCATGTGTGGAACCCCGTCATGTGGAACCCCGTCATGTGTGGAACCCCGTCATGTGGAACCCCGTCATGTGGAACCCCGTCATGTGTGGAACCCCGTCATGTGTGGAACCCCGTCATGTGGAACCCCGTCATGTGGAACCCCGTCATGTGGAACCCCGTCATGTGTGGAACCCCGTCATGTGGAACCCCGTCATGTGGAACCCCGTCATGTGGAACCCCGTCATGTGTGGAACCCCGTCATGTGGAACCCCGTCATGTGGAACCCCGTCATGTGGAACCCCGTCATGTGGAACCCCGTCATGTGTGGAACCCCGTCATGTGGAACCCCGTCATGTGGAACCCCGTCATGTGGAACCCCGTCATGTGGAACCCCGTCATGTGTGGAACCCCGTCATGTGGAACCCCGTCATGTGGAACCCCGTCATGTGTGGAACCCCGTCATGTGTGGAACCCCGTCATGTGTGGAACCCCGTCATGTGTGGAACCCCGTCATGTGTGGAACCCCGTCATGTGGAACCCCGTCATGTGGAACCCCGTCATGTGGAACCCCGTCATGTGGAACCCCGTCATGTGGAACCCCGTCATGTGGAACCCCGTCATGTGTGGAACCCCGTCATGTGGAACCCCGTCATGTGGAACCCCGTCATGTGTGGAACCCCGTCATGTGTGGAACCCCGTCATGTGGAACCCCGTCATGTGGAACCCCGTCATGTGGAACCCCGTCATGTGGAACCCCGTCATGTGTGGAACCCCGTCATGTGGAACCCCGTCATGTGTGGAACCCCGTCATGTGTGGAACCCCGTCATGTGGAACCCCGTCATGTGGAACCCCGTCATGTGGAACCCCGTCATGTGGAACCCCGTCATGTGTGGAACCCCGTCATGTGTGGAACCCCGTCATGTGTGGAACCCCGTCATGTGTGGAACCCCGTCATGTGGAACCCCGTCATGTGTGGAACCCCGTCATGTGGAACCCCGTCATGTGTGGAACCCCGTCATGTGTGGAACCCCGTCATGTGGAACCCCGTCATGTGGAACCCCGTCATGTCACGTTCCATCTCCATCAGGATTTCTGCTTCTCGAACCCCCATCAACGTTTGCTCGATGCTGCAGTGCATACCTGTTACCGGTTTAGCTTTCCAGTGTTGAGCTGTGCAGTACCTTGTTATACGCTTTAGATGCCCATTGTTGTGTATGCTCTTCTCAACGCCCCGCAGATCCAGCAAATGGCCGACAAGAACCATCCCAACATCGTGCGGCTGCTTGGGTTTGCTGTGGGGGGGGACATCAGGACGCGGCCAGAGCAGGTGCTCATCTACGAGTTTGTGCCTAACGGCGACCTTGCAACGTGGCTGGACCCAACAAGTATGTATGTCTGCGCTCAATGCCTTCGTGCTTATCCGTTAGGGATCAAGAGATTGGTTTTGCGACATGTTACAACCGTACCCTACACTCAACAACTTAGTCTTCAGCAAGATATAGTCTTAGATATGTTGTGTCCCCAATGCTGTCTTCCACAATATAGATTTAGAAATGTTGTGTCCCGAATGCTGTCCCCCCAATGCTCTCTCCCCAATGCTGCCTCCCCCCTGCAGAGGCACCATTCTCACTGACCCTGCCGCAGCGACTGGGCATCCTGATCGGGGCAGCGCGCGGCTTGGAGTATCTCCACAGCTTTGGCTTCGTGCATCGCGACATCAAACCCGCCAACATCCTCATCGGTGCTGACATGCAGGTAAGCTCGCCACAACAAACAAATAATTTCTTGAATGTAGTTAATATTGAATTCTTAGTCAAATCAAAACAAACAACTGTCAGCTGTTCAGGTCCCTACCGTATGAAACTTAACAGTTCATTCCAAACACTCTGATCATGAGAATTGTGATCAATCGCCTTCTAAAATGTCCAACTATAGTGAATGAAATGCACATGCATGTGGATAGTACCTTGCTTCTTGACGGTTTAGATGCGCAATCAACTCCCTTATGTATGTGCTCTGCAGAATGTTGTAACTTGTATGGCCCCATCCAATCTGACTTTTTCTACCTATTTCAACTTGTTAAACTCTCTACTCACCAGGCCAAGATTGCGGATTTTGGATTGGTGAGGGTGGGGGAGGGAACGACAGTGGGTTCTACTCGAGTGATGGGCACACCGGGCTATGTGGACCCTGTCTACTCCAGGACAAGCAAGGCAACCACAGCCACTGATGTTTACAGGTACTTGAGAGGAGAGGCTTTTCGTAAGTTCACAAAAAAATATAGTCAAATAGTTTCTTCGTGTTCTTTTTTTTTAATCCATGGGGCCCGCATGTTCTGTCCATGCATTTGCACGTCGAGCTCACGTTTCGCGCTATAGAGGGAAAAGGAGGAAGCATGGTTGCCGTAAGATTGAGGTGGTTCATTCAAAGTGTAGAATTTCCTCTTTTTGCAAGGATGGTATGCTAAACGTCTTGAAACGAATTCAAGTCTTGGCTGTTGTGATGCCTCACCATGCCATCGGCATGGCAGTAACATCTCTCCCTCTCCTTGTCTCCCTATCCACAGCTTTGGAGTGCTTATCCTTGTGGTTCTCACTGGTCGTACTCACAATGCTGAGACTTCCAAGGGGAGCATGCACGTCCTACCTTGGGTAAGCACCACCACCACCGCCGCCGCCGCTGCCGTCGCCACCACCGGTTTTCTGCTCTCATTTTCAAGGCTTGATCAACCACTCGTCGCACCCCTCATTCGCACATGTGCCTTTGTGTTCTCTCACTCACTCCCAACTGCCCTTTCCAACCGTCTGTTCTGTACCCTTCTAGGTGGACGAGTGTCTGTCAAAGGGGGATCTGGCGGGCCTGAAGAGTTCCGGCATGGACGCCCCAAAGGAGGTGCTGCTGCGCCTCACTCAGCTCGCAGTGAGCTGCACGGTGGATCGCACGGCAAACCGGCAGACCATGGGAGATGTTGCCAATGAGCTGCAGGCGGTCAGGAACGAAGTGGGGGGGAAGGAGGAGGTGCGTGGCGCGGTTAAAGTGGATGTGGAGAATGAGGAGAGGATGAGTGCACACAGGATACACCAAAGCCTGGATGAAGCAATTGACAGCATTAGCGATGTTGTGTGATTAACCAGTTATGACATTACGGTGGACAAGTAGCTGCTAATTCCTCAACTCCTGGACTTCCACGAGTTTCTATTTGGTGTCTATGCTGCGCTGCACTGGTTGTGAAATTCATTTGACCTGCCCTCACGTCAATCACTCCCTGTATACAAATCTTTGGTCCACGGTGTTGCTGTGCTTCCATGTTTGCTCACTGGCTCCAACACACACCTAGCGACAGCGTGCGATTCCCCCATGACGTTCTTTTGTTGCGCATCAGTGCCTTCGCCACATGTGATGTGAGCCGTATGAGTGACACCCCATCTAAGGTTTGTATGAGTGCACCGCCTAAACTGCTGAAGCATTGGAGGTTTGCGTTTGTGAACCTTCCAAGCCTCGCATGCATGGTATGGCACGGTCACCGCGCTGCCTTCTACCGTAGCTTCACAAAACACTACCAGAGTCACTAGGCCCTCAGATATCAGACTCTTTACGCTGATTTGATTATTTATTTTTATTTTTTAAATTATATTTGGTTCAGATATCATAGTCACCAGGCCCCCTGTATGCCTTGCCAAGTCATTCTATCACTTGCTAACAGATACATCCAGGAGAACACGGTAATCAACATATTTTGAGCAGCGGCTAATTGTACGCCTTGTAACGCTGTAACAACTTGATCACGCGCGTAAGCCAATGAGCTTCAATTCTTCCGTTAGGCTTGGCTGTTTCTTAATTACACTGCTCCTCTCCTCATCTTCCTCATCCACCTTCACCGCTGCGCGCACCTCCTCCTTCCCCTCCACTTCATTCCTAACCGCCTGCAGCTCATTGGCAACGCCTCCCATGGTTGGCCGGCTTGCCGTGCGAGCCACCGTGCAGGTGAGTGCGAGGTGAGAGATTCGTAGCAGCACGTCCTCTGGGGCATCCATGCTGGCATTACTCTTGAGGCCCGCCACATCCCCCTTTGACAGACACTCGTCCACCTGAGGAGTGCAGACAGACGGTTAGAAAGGCACATGCGCGAATGAGGGGTGTGGCGAGTGGCTGAACCTCAAACAGACCAAGGCGCAGCAGCGCGTCATCTGGGGCATCCATGCTGGCGTTGATCTTGAGGCCCGCTACATCCCCTCGCGACAGGCACTCGTCCACCTGAAGAGTGCAGACGGTTAGAAAAGGACCGGGAGGGGAGCAGTTTGGAGGTGCTGATGGTGGTGGCGGTGGCGGCGGCGATGATGGTGCTGGTGGTGTTGTGACGGTGGCGGCGGTGGCGGCAGCGGTGGTGCTCACCCAAGGTAGGATGTGCATGCTTCCCGCTGTAGTCTCAGCAGTGACAGCACGTCCAGTTAGCACCACGAGGATGAGCACTCCGAAGCTGCAGGCAGGGAGAGGGAGAGACGATGCTTGCAAAGGCACGGTGATGGCATCACAACAGCGCGGCTTGTATTTGTTATGTTCATCATACCATGCTTGCACATTGAGGAGGTTTTACACCTTTTACATGTAAGAAAAGCGATGCTCATGATACCATGCTCGCCAAAAGAGGAGATTCTACACTTGAACCAACCACCTTGATTCCCTATCTATTATTGTTTTCCGGTTTACAGTGCTTAGCGCATGTGAGCGCGCATGATTAACGTCGAAATGCACGGACAGAATAGGAGGAAGTAAGAAATGAGCACCAAGTGATTATCAGCCTCATTTTCAATTTACAAAAAGCCTCTCATCTCATCCTCCCTCACGTACCTGTAAACATCAGTGGCTGTGGTTGCCTTTGACGTTCTGAAGTAAACTGGATCCACATAGCCCGGTGTTCCCATCACTCGCGTACAACCCACTGTCGTGCCCTCTCCCACCCTTACCAATCCGAAATCTGCAACCTTGGCCTGGGGATGAGAGAGAACCAGAACAAGGGTAAAAGGCGAAATGTTTTTGAGCCGACTCAAGAAATCTGCAACCTTGGCCCGGGGAAGAGAGAGAGAGTATATCAGAGAAAGGGTGAAAGACGAAAGAGGTATAAGCGGCTGGATTGATCGGCAGGGGTACATAATCCTGCAGAAAGCGTAACGTACCCTAGGAAGTTGATCGCGCATCATCTATCTAACTTTTGAGTCGACTCAAAAGCGTAACGTACCCTAGGAAGTTGATCGCGCATCATCTATCTAACTTTTGAGTCGACTCAAAAGCGTAACGTACCCTAGGAAGTTGATCGCGCATCATCTATCTAACTTTTGAGTCGACTCAAAAGCGTAACGTACCCTAGGAAGTTGATCGCGCATCATCTATCTAACTTTTGAGTCGACTCAAAAGCGTAACGTACCCTAGGAAATTGATCGTGCATCTATCTAGACCATAATTAAATGAAGTACTATCAATATGCGTGTCAGAAATCTCTAATGGGAAGAAGTAACACAGGGTGATTTGTTACTTGAGGTATCACAGGTTAGGGACCTGGGCAGCTGAACATTGCTCCTTTGAATCAACTTCAACAAATACCCACAAATTAATGAAGGCATTTGTTTCTTGTTGAGAGCTTGCCTCCACGTCAGCGCTGATGGGAATGTTGGCGGGTTTGATGTCACGATGCCCACTACCTCAGCCGACTCGAGATAATATAAATCGCTGTTGTGGTACTTCAAGTCATTCGTTCTTTTTTAAGAACTCGGGGACGAGCAATTGACTCAGGGACGAGTATTTGACTCGGGGTCAAGTATTTGACTCGGGGACGAGCAATTGACTCGGGGACGAGTATTTGACTCGGGCATGTCAGCGCGGATGAGGATGTTGGCGGTTTTGATGTCATGTTGCTCACTGTTCCATCCGACTCGTAACAGACTCATCATACATAAATTCACTATGATATTTGTTCTTGGTGGGAGCTTGCCTGCATGTCAGCACCGATGACGATGTTGGCGGGTTTGATGTCGCGATGCACGAAGCCAAAGCTGTGGAGATACTCCAAGCCACGCGCCGCCCCGATCAGAATTCCCAGCCGCTGCGGCAGGGTCAGCGAGAATGGTGCCTCTGCAGGAGGGAGGCAGCTATAGGGAGAGATCACCGGGGAGAGAGCATTGGAACACAGAATTTGGGAGATCATAGCATGCAAGACTAAATTGTTGAGTGTAGAGTGGAGGTTGTAACAAGATCCCAAAGCCAATCTCTCGACTCCCAACAGTAACCAGGGTTACAAGTTGGACATTTCGCCAACCTTACTGGTTTTGAGGCGCCTCAAAACTAGACATTTCCCCAACTTTACTAGAGACCCGATGCTGCAGCCAAGCCCAACTGCCTCTCACTTCTAGAATCCCCGAACATTGTTGGTCAGCCTAACTTATGTATCTTGAGCCCACTTGAGCAAGGAGAAGAGAAGCACGAATGCATTGATCGCCGTTAAACATACTTGTTGGGTGCAGCCACCTTGCCAGGTCGCCGTTAGACACAAACTCGTAGATGTGAACATACATACGGTTATGGAATGTGCAACACAAGCACAAGGGGCATCGAAAGTAGACTCACTTGTTGGATCCAGCCACGTTGCAAGGTCGCCGTTAGGCACAAACTCGTAGATGAGAACCTGCTCTGGCCGCGTCCTCATGTTCCCCCCAACGGCAAACCCAAGCAGCCGCACGATGTTGGGATGGTTCTTGTCGGCCATTTGCTGGACCTGGGGAGCGTGAAATAAGAAGAGAACCGACAAGATTCATCGCGCATAATGCATTCACCAAACAGCCGCTCGATGTTGGGATGGTTCTTATCGACCATTTGCTGGACCTGATGGGTGTGTGTGAACATACAACACGGCAGATTTTTTTAACGGCTGATAGTATGCAACAGCAGCACTATGCAAACAGATGATATCGAAATTCGTAGCTTGGATAGTGACACTCCTAATTGAGATGAAACGTAACACGACGGGTATCCTCCACGGATGCATACGTATAAACCGACATGCGGACTTACACTACACACCATGAATGAAACCACCGCTTTAACAAGTCGCTCTCACCTCGCGCTGGAATTCCACATCTATCAGCTTGGCGCGCTTCACAGCCCACTCTGTGACACCATCGCGCGGCGACAACCCCTTGTACACGTCGCCAAAGGCCCCCTTCTGAGTGGACTCAAAAGTCACAAGTCACTCTCACCTCGCGTTGGAATTCCACGTCGATCAGCTTGGCGCGCTTCACAGCCCACTCTGTGACACCATCGCGCGGCGACACCCCCTTGTACACGTCGCCAAAGGCCCCCGACCCCAGCTGGTTGGCTGGGGACCAGTTGTTGGTGGCTGCTTTGACCTCCGCGACAGAGAACTCGGTGCTGTGTAGGGCTGCTAGTGGGGTGAGGGTGAGGATTGAGGGTGAGGCGTGAGGGGTGAAGGGTGAAGGGTGAACGGATGAGAGGCACACACATGATGTGATGAAAGCCTGTGCGGTGCTTGTCGCCTTCCTTGGTTACCATAAACAAAAAGAGAACACACACAAACACACAAACACACGTGCACGCATATGCACGCAGATGCACATGCACATGCACATGCACATTCACACACACGTCGTGCGTGTGTACCGTGGGTGTGTCGTGCGTGCGCGGTGCGCACGCAAGCACGCACGCATGCACGCACGCACGCACACATACACAACACAATGAAACCACATTGTAGCAGAAGAACGGGAAAAAAAAAACCACTTTCGTGATTGTGTTTATGCTTATACCAGTTTCTATAGAACCAAGATGCGATCCCTAAAAATCTTCATTATGTACCAATTGGAGAATAGGCAGATTCCATTGAGAACCACCCTCCAGTCACTTCTCCTCCCTTCCAACCCACGCTATACACCTGGCGCCTTTCTCCTTCACCATTGCTATCTCCTCCTTTACACCCATCCATTTAGCTCCACTTCTTACATCATCTTCCTTCCCACCTGACCATTAACAATTCGACTCAAAATATACTAAGTGTCGGCTAAGCTACAGAGCACCTTCAATACGTACAACTACTTGTAAGTGCGTTACATACACTTAAA